CCTTTGCGCGCCTAGTATAAGAGGACCCGCTGCCATGGCGCTGTCGGCACTCGGACCTGCTCTCCAGCCACTCGCTCCTCTATTCGGTTGCTCACTTCGCGCCAGCGCACGCACCCCCCACCACCACCACCCCGCCGCCGCCGCCGCCCTCGTTGCCGCCGGTTCGCGCTTCTTCCACACCTCGCAGCCCACCCTCTTCGGGCCGCCCTTCCGCCGGTCTCAGCAGTCCGTGCACCCGGTCTACTTCAGCGAGTCCTTCTCCGCCGAGGACGCCGACGTCGACCCCTCCGCCGACGAACGTTCTCCCCCCGTGGCCGCTGCTCCCCCCCCGTCCACGCCACCGCCGCCCCCCTCCTCCCCTTTCTCCTTCATCCCGCAGCTCCTGCTGCCTCTCTCCTTTGTGCGTCACACCTCCCCTCCTCATGGCCGTCACATCCACGCCGTCGTGCCCCCCCCCCCACTGACCCGCCTCCCGCTTGCTCCCTCCCTCCCTCTCTCTCTCTCTCTCCCCCACCCCGCTCAAATGCAGCTCATGCCTTCCAACAGCACCGCCACCAGCCAGTCGGTCACCTACCCCGACCCCAAGGTCGCTGTGCCCGCCCCCGAGGACGGCGAGCACGACTACACCCGCGTCTTGCAGGGCGCCCTCGCGGCCAACACCCACACGGCCTCCATCCCGGCCGGCATGCCGCGGCTCGACCTGCACCCGGCCATCCCCCCGATGACCACCCCCGGTCTGGTGGGCTTTGCCGTGGGGCAGCCCTCGATCACCAACTTCCCCATGTCGCCGACCACGACCGCCGCGCGCATTGCCGCCGTCGACCCGGCATCCATCGCCATGGCCGTCGACACGTCGATCGTGGTGGGCGAGCATGGGCGCGCTCTGGTTTCCACCCCGGACATCCTCACCCGGGACATTGTCCGGCCACGTGCCATGAGCCTCGGCGGTGATGAGGACAACCTGCCGCCGGGTGCTCCCTCGCCGTCGGCCTTCGTCCGCGGCGGCGCGGTCTTCTCCCACATCGCCAATGATGAGGAGCTGGCTGCTTCCGAGGCCGCGGCCGCGGCGGCCGTCGCCTCGGCTGCCGCCATCCCCGACACCGACGACATGGCCGGCATCGAGACCCACCCCTCCGGGCTGGACCGCAACACCAGCGGCTTCATCAAGCTCCAGAGCAAGGACACCGAGCTGTCGCGCGACCTGTCCGAGATCTTCCTCTACAACCAGCGCTGGGCCCAGCAGACCAAGCACCGGGACCCGAACTACTTCCGCAAGCTGGCCTCCCAGCAGTCCCCCAAGTTCCTGTGGATCGGCTGCTCGGACAGCCGTGTCCCTGCCAACCAGCTGATGGGCCTGGCTCCGGGCGAGGTGTTTGTCCACCGCAACATCGCCAATGTCGTGGTTCACACCGATCTCAACTGCCTGTCGGTCCTGCAGTACGCCGTGTCGGTCCTGCGCGTGGAGCACATCATCGTCTGCGGCCACTACCGGTGCGGTGGTGTGCGCGCCGCCATGACCCGCTCCAGCCATGGGCTCATCGACAACTGGCTGCGCTCCATCAAGGATGTCTGCTACGCCAACCAGGCCGAGCTGTCCGCCATCAAGGACTTCGAGCGCCGGGCTGACCGTGCTTGCGAGCTGAACGTCCGTGAGCAGGTTGGCAACATTTGCCAGACCGAGATTGTCCAGTCCGCCTGGGCCCGGGGGCAGTCGCTCTCGGTGCACGGCTGGATCTATGACATCAGTGACGGTCTCCTGCGTGACCTCGCTGTGTGCGTCACCAGCGCCGAGCAGCTGAGCTCCATCTACCGCTTCGATCAGGATACCCTGAGCAAGTGAGCGCCCTCCCCCACACCGCACACCGGTCCACACCCTCAGCCCCA